CCCAGATTCCGTTTTCCACATCGTCTTTATGTCGTTTTTGTGATTTGAAATGTTTAAACACAACGCTCGTTCTCCCGTTGGTGTGCATACATAAATATCTCACAAGAATGCGTTTTCTGTATCAGGTGTACACGCGCATACCCTACCTGTAAAGCGGCGTAACTCAAAGGGGGACTCGCATTGACGAAGTTTCATCATTCTGATCGATTAGCGTAAAACCTTGGTGGAACACGTTAGGAATGTCGTGTGTTTTAAAAATAAATTGATTACTCAGAACCACTTTTCTGATCTCTGGTTGAAATTATAAAATTGTAGAGAGAGAGAGCGAACGGTAGAATGTCAGCAAGGAAGAAATGACTGAAACTATCAGTTTGAGTCACATTACCCCTTGACCAAACTCCAATGGGGTCGCACAAATCGTTGCCAGAATTGTGCATGTGTCATCGGTGGTTCGTTCGCTGGCAGCAATGAGTCCACATACACAGCTTGAATACACTTCTGAACAACAGAGTTGTGGTAGAAGGATCGACACATTCTGTGCAAATGACATCTGCAAGTAAACAAAAAAGAAAGGAAATGCACATTTTTAGATGATGAATGAGCATGTGAATCGGAAGAGAATTTGTTTTTCTCAGTTACAACAATATTTGGTTTATCGAAATACCGTTTTGTTACAGATTCCTCGCCTAACTTTTTACTCACTACATTTTTAAAGGTTATACACGGATAGCACCAACTTTAGGTAATAGATTCGTACTGTCACGGGGTGTCTGTCTTCTGCGATCAGTTTAATTAGTTTAACGTTTCTTGGTGGATAAAAAATGTATTCCTTTGGTCCTGCTCAACAATATATCCTGGAATTTCAGAACATGTGGCCCTAAGGTTGTTGGGCACTAACATCACAGATCAACAGCTTTGTTCCAATCGATTTGGTCAATGCTTTGTTCAACACCTTTGAAGGGAACGACACGGGTTGAAACATGTTTGGACTCACTGGGTTCATGTCTTAATGGTATCAGGTATTCCATTGTCTATAAGGTGGAAGATGTATCGTAGGGCATATTTTATCCCCTTTGCTTCCCAGTTTACATTCAAGATCAACCGCTCCACCCCATCTGCTTTCAGACGATACATTGGTTAGTGGTGCATCCATCAACAACTCTCCCCTCAACCCCTTTCAATTATACATAGGTTCCATTGATGAATCATCTGCTGGGCTTAACTATTCCTAATTCCTATCAAATACACTGAAGTTTGGTGTTCTCTTAACCAGTTCGTGCGGCGGTTCAGGTAGTTCTCTGTGGTTTATCTATCTGGACGAAGCAGTAGAAGGAAGATTAGAATGTGCCAAGCAGTGTTCATGTGAAGATAAAGAAGTCAAGTGGACCAAGTTCGCAAGCATATGAATTGCACACCCGAGATCCTTTGTCTGCGATCAAGTGAGTCTCGTTACCCATCGATTATCCTGATCCCGAGGTCTAGATGACTGAATCTCCTGGTCAGAGTTTCCATGNGTTTCCATGCGCTCATCCCAGGTCTCAATTTGACCATCCTTGTTTTGCTTTTCACTCACTACTTGTCTCACCAAACATCGTACTCAGAGAAAAACTATCCACTGATATGTGCATGAAATGCCCTATCCGAATATTGGCTCCAATGGGCGAAAGCAGCACCCGATCAGAACGTGTGAAATTAGTCACTTGGCATGTGGGATGGGGGCGAGACTATTTTGTGTGCACATTCTGACCACTCAACCAACAGCAAAATGTCACTAGGACTTAGCTTAATTACTCGAGCTCGGAAGCTAGTAACCAACAAAAAGGATAAACTCACATGAAAAAGAATAAACGTCACGTGATGAACCGGATTACCAAAGAACTAGAAGATAATGAATATCCGAAGGAGTTCATCGAAAAAACCAAACACCGAAATATCAACCCACTGCAGTCAACTAAGCCCAAAAACAACTGGTTGACAACTGTTGTGATTCCATATCGTAGTAACACGTCCGAAGGCATACGACGGATACTCAATCGTGTAAAGATGAGGGTTGTATTCAAAAACACTAACACAATCTACTCCAAACTAGTTAACCTCAAAGACCCGCATGCAAAAGGGGACACTTCTGTCGTAGTCTATAGAAAACATTGTCTAGATTGTCTTGTTACGAGTGTCGGCCAAACGTCCAGAAGTCTAGACAAACGAATGACTGAGCACATGCATCTAACGAAAAAAATTCCAAATGATGTAGCAGGTTGGAATCGAGTGGAACACAATTCCGCAATCGCTGGTCATGCGATGTGCGAATGACATACAGTCGAGTTCAAAAACCAGTGCATTCTGAAGCGTGGGTTCAGAAATCACAAGGTACGTTTGGTAGCCGAAGCGCTCCTGATCAACTCTGAACTTAGGGTAATCAATCGATCCGATGGGGCACTCATTCCACAGTTATGGTAACAATTAACACTTGTGCTTACAAAATAGTCTCGCCCCCACCCCACATGCCAAGTGACTAATTTCACATGTTTTGACCTAAAGGTTAAACCAATTTCACTCGCCCCAACGATCACCAACACACATACACACACACGCACATACACATACACGCATGNAACACAATTCCGCAATCGCTGGTCATGCGATGTGCGAATGACATACAGTCGAGTTCAAAAACCAGTGCATTCTGAAGCGTGGGTTCAGAAATCACAAGGTACGTTTGGTAGCCGAAGCGCTCCTGATCAACTCTGAACTTAGGGTAATCAATCGATCCGATGGGGCACTCATTCCACAGTTATGGTAACAATTAACACTTGTGCTTACAAAATAGTCTCGCCCCCACCCCACATGCCAAGTGACTAATTTCACATGTTTTGACCTAAAGGTTAAACCAATTTCACTCGCCCCAACGATCACCAACACACATACACACACACGCACATACACATACACGCATGCTCGAATCACATCCGAGTTCTATACGATGTCATCATCCCATCGCCTTGTAATTGCTTGTAACGTGAGATTAACCGATTAAACGACTTGAAATAGGCCTTCCAAGAGGGTCACTAACGCTTTTGTGTTTTGGTTTTCATTCGTTCTGGCTAAGACAAACTAATTTCCTCAATAATCATGAGTACGACACCCAAGTTTTTCAGTGAGATCCGTTCCATTCATAGATCTCGTGTTATTATACAGATAAAGCTTCACACAAACATATAAGATATTACTGTTATTATTATTATTATTATTATTATTATTTTAAAATATTTGCCAACTGTCTTCGTAATGAAAAACCATGTGGGTATTTTATCGATGCAAGCGTAATCATATTTACACAAGGCTTTGAGTGACTGACTTCCTGAAAAATCCAGCAAATTGCTGTATATACTCATCCCGCCAAGCCCTTTCGCAAATAACATTAGGGTCTCTCGCAACCGCGACCTTACATTGATGGCGCATTTTGGAGTCACCGTAGGCCGAGAGCTTACCCGAACTCATCGAGTATCTCTTCTTATCTTTTTTATTTTACTTCTGTTTATTGAATATGCAATGATACAATTTTCAAGAAGGGGCAAGCTACCGATCGAAGGACTGCCATTCAACACACAATGGGGAAAGTCAGGCGGTGGTGGTGGGATTCGAACGCCCATCCCCGGGGTAATAATTAGGTGACGTTACCATCGGGCCACCACCGNNNNGCCACGTTCTTCAGACCGGAATAACAAAGTTCATAGGACCGTCATATTCAGTTCAGGTCAGTCTAAGTATACTTTGGGCACACACACGCCTCACGGCACAGTGGTAACACCCCCGCCCACTCAGCGGGACTTCCGGAGTTCAAATCTCGAATCGATTGCTGAAAATACAGCACCGACGAGCTCTAACAGGAAAAACACTCAAGTCCAATAGTGCAGGGCTGATTGGAGGAAGTTAGGACTATGAGCAAGACGGAAGAAAGCTCACCACACGTAAAAAGTAAATTAGACCAAATGACTAATTTGTATCCTTCAGATCGCAAATCTGATACACATTGTAACGAAGTTCTGGCGGTTACCAATTTGCTGAAATATCATACTCACACCCATATGAACTTAGGACTGCTTTTAATCACGCTTTACAGTCGTTACACTCAATGCCTCAGTCTTTACGAAGAGTTGCTGGCAAATCAAACTCAATTTTTGAGCATAAATGCATAGCATCAGATCAATAACCATGTTGGCAGTAACCCCGAGGAACCAACCGCTATTCGCCAGCGGTATGTGGTACAAACCTAACAGGGGAATGAATGTGCCACTCCACACACGGACCGAAAGCGGTCGAATCCGACGTGAGCTCCTCAATGAAATTCAAAACTTGTCTGTTTTCACGGTGATCACAGTGGTAGCGCACACGCCATCCATGCGATGGGTCCGGAGTTCAAATCCCGTACGGGATGGTGGATATGCACTACTGAAGAGCGAAACTCGAGTCTAGTGCTTCCGAGTGTATGAAATGAGGATTGTGCGCGAAGGTGAAGTCCAAAGAATAATCAGTTCAAATCAATCAATGACTTATATTTGGTCCAACGTCCCGAATGTGTGAATGGAAGAGGGGACGTGATTGATTGTTGTTATCCAGTGAACAATCTACTGTTCCCTTTGCCCAATCGGAGAGTGAGAGGGCACTGTACGCGTGAGCATTTCATAGCTGCGGTGGATAGAAAGCACTAGTTGATCGCCTAGATCAGGCCGTGGCAACCAGCTATGATTTTACTACTTGAAGTTGGCTAGTGCGAATAATGTGATTGATGGACCGGGTGAGTAATTTGCCGCGGTTTGCTTACGGAAGTATCACAATTTAGTGTGCATGATAGTCCACTCTCATATCCTCAGTCACTCGCTTATCTGATATTCCTCTTCTCACACTAACCTTTGCGCACTGGCAATAACATGAATCATTGAGAGTAATAATTCGCCCTCGAATGACTATGTTCGTATGTTACAATGGGTATATTGTGGAACTTACTTCAAAGCACAAGTGATCATTGTGGACTGCAGGTAGTCGAGGAAACAGCCACTCGTTTTATTCGAATTTGCAATGCTTTTACGCGCACTTAACAAGGGGTCAAAAACGAACTTCTCATGTCGAACCACCGCTCCATCCCCGGCATTCGACCACAGATGACAAGTAACCGGGTGATGTCCAACATTCGTATTCGTTCGTGTAATCTGCCCGTCGGAATTGACAAACGCCACTCTGTCCTCTTCATCGACGGTGTCCGGCTTCTGACCAGTATCAATGGAATACCGTCTGACCGATTTTGGCACATCTCCGTAAATCCAGCTCTTTTGTCCAAATGCACTGTTTTGGGAGATTAATGCGTGGAAATTAATCCACATTGTCGATGGCATTCCGGGTTCCAAAATAATCTGTTTTTGTTTCTTGCCAACCATGCAACCAGTCTTGTTCCTCAACTTACCAAGCTGGAAACATTGGCCGTGAGCAGTGCAATAGCCAACTCTCTGCATGACGGAAATTTGCTCTGGATCGTTGTCAAGAGAACATGCGGTGACAAAGAGCAATGTGAATAACATTATCAACGCCAAACGATAGAGCTGTCTCGTCATTTTGAAACACTGCACGATTGCGCACTGCATTGGGAATCCGGAATGCATTTCTTTATATATAACACGCAGCTGAGACAGTGCAAACAGGTTCATTCAGCCTCATAGTTTAATGGGGGCACAATTCTAAGGTGTCTGTTTATACATGCACTGAGAGAGGGGACTTTTCCCCAAGACACCTCGATAGATGAGAATGTGACATGAAGCGTGTCTGATTGTTATTGCTCAACTGGAATAGGAGGAAGCCCTTCCAAAATCTGAACAAATATTAGTCGCATTCAGATTTCACGTAACAAAATGGGGATGATAAAAACAAAAATAGGATCTTTTGTGTGTGAGGGAGGGGGGGGCGGGAAACAAAGGAAGTTCAAATATGGTCCATGTGGTCATTCGGGCAAAATGGGAGAGTAGAGGAGGTGCACCCGGGAATCAAAACTATCCTAAACAGTTGAGGAATTTTGTTTGTTGCATGAGAACAGGATGATAACAAGTATGCATTCTATCCCCTGCATTTATGGGCACATCTGCCATTGAGGTTCAACATCAATAACAACAACACCAATAATAATAATAGTAATAATAATAATTTCAACTCTAATGGATAAATCATTGAGTGTGTATGAAATAACCAGAAAGTGCACCATGCGTACCAGTACATGGCAGTTCCGAGGAGCATCGAAGGCTCTCACATAAATAACAAGTATAGGATTGTAAAGTATCAAGTTGGATTAACTCCTTCCATTGTTCAGAGGAACCAGACAGTCTCAATGGTCTTGGGTGTGAGTTTCAGTCCCTGGGAGATCGTTGATTCCCCACAGGTTCATGCATTTACGAGCGATGGAAATATGTGTGGTAACCGACAAAAAGCACTTGAAAGTTGTTTCGTCCTGTTGAGTGCGCGTACGTATGGTGCTCCTGTCAGGACTCGAACCGCGAGCATTCGGGTTGGGACTTCAAATCCTTACCCCTGAGCTACATCTGATCACCTTGTGCGAATGGGTCCATCAATTTAGAACATCAGGAAGAAACAGCTGTCCAGTGATCTTTGTCCGTTATCACGAATAGTTTCATCACAGTTTAATAACAGTTATAGCAGTTGATGCACATTATGCGTATGAGGATGTTAGGGTTTTTCGTAGTGGTGGTAGTAGCAAAAGACCCCTATCATTTCCGCTGGAAACAACTTCCATCCCTCGACTCACACCAGTCAGCCAACTGTAACATGAATGCACTACTTGCGACTCGTAATGCGCGAACCCTGGTACGGGCTTGAAAGTTGGAACACACTGGGTTAGGGTGACCGAGTTCCTCGGAACACACTACAAGTTTCTATAATCCACATGTCAACCTGTCCTGACAGACTGGATCCTGCTATTCATTCAACTCATGAAAGAACAGTTTGAATTCTAACCTATTACACTGAATGGACTCCCAATAATCATGTTTGTTATATTTGATTACATACAGGTTAGAGAACCATCCTAGATCACGAAGCTGGGCAATGTTACAGACATCACCTGTACCAAATTTCTGTGACACTTCACAGAGGCGGTTCATCCCCTAAGCAGTCGAAGTGAAGTAAGAAACTCTGGGTTCGACTTGCAACCTGACCGACACACTTTCAAAGAGGATGAACAAAACAATGTGAAAACAGTCGCTGATGGATTTGAAGTTCATTATAAAATGTGTGTGTTTGAAAATATCGAGTTAAACAAGTTGCAAGACAATAGAAGTGTACTGCGGTTTTACTATCATATAACTAAAAATTGCTTTCCTGATCCTGTATGTCTACAGACTCCATAAGGCAACTTGTTATCTAACATCTTATTACCTGACTAATCCGCAGTTTTGCTGACCAAAGCAGATTTCGATCAATAAATTGATGTTCATAATTACATGTGAAGGAACCTTAACGATATAACTTGTCCGAATTGAATTTCATCTTGGTGGACAAAGTTCCTCATTCGGTAGAATACGGAAATGAGAAATATTCAAACTTTTGCTGTCACTGTCCGCATGATCACTACACCATGATGGGGTTGTAGCAGAAATTGTGTGCACCATCGATTTCTCGTTTGCTCTGAATCTGGCTAGTTCCGTTGCAAAATGGATACCAATCAATAGAGAGAAGGAATTTCCGTTCATATGTTTGTAAGGAGACCATTGATTTAGCCAGATTTGGACAATTAAAGTTGCCCATAAGTCCACGCGGGACATTCAGAGACAATATCATTCCATTTCGCCTGTTCGCCGAGATTGGCAATTTGTTTGCAAACGTTTCACCACCAGCCGAAGTGACATTATTAGTGGCAGTGTTGTGAGGGACCCGTTAGATTATACACGTTGTCTTCTCCATCGACTGCTTTTGTCCCCTGTTCTCCTTGTTCGCCGTTGCGAGGGGGTGAGAATGGGAGAGGAGAGGTTTGTCCTTCCGCCCTGATCGCGGCTTCGTTCCGTTCACATCGTGACCGTTTTTGTAGCGTCCTTTGCTCCTTCAGTTGCATTGGTGTGTACATGTGATCCAGTTCGATATGCCTGTTTATAGAGTTGTTTGGAGAGTGCCATGCCAAGGGAAGTTCTCCGGCGTGCTTTGACCGGGCTTGGTCAATAATTTTCACTGAATCGAAGCCAAACTGATATCTTTGTTGATCCTCTTAGAGGGAAATCAACGATAGTTCGTCATGTCTCCTGACTACCGATTGCTGTTCACCGATCCTGGTTGACAGTCTGTTCGATATAGTGTTTTGGGCAGTTCTCGCATTTTATTTTGTGGGTAACATAGCTCTGATGCTTCTCCATTGTTCTCTATTTTGTTTTTGATAAAAGTCTCCTTGGACAGGCTGTTGGTTTGTAGGCGATTTGGATTCCGTATGATTTGAGCAGTCTTGCTCTCATTTCCGATGTATGGCAGGATCGTTCGATTTTCCGATTCTCCGTCTGTTGCTTCTTTCTTTCTTTAAGTCAGAGTTTTTTTAATGAAGTTGCGGGTGTAGCCATTGAGAGAAATTCTTTGAGTAGGTATCTTTCTTCTTTCTTCTTGAGTATGTCGGCGCTGAAGTCCGTATGGACTCTTCCGAACAAGGTTCAAACACAGCATCTTTTGCGGATGTTTGGATGATAACTTTTTAAGTTTAGAATTTGATCCGTATGCGTTGCTTTGCGGAAGACCGTTGTCTCCAGTTTTCCTGATGGCGTTCTGATGATCAAGATGTCTAAAAATGCCAGTTGTTTATCCTTTTCCGGCTCCGTTGTGAACCTGATACCATTGAATGCGTTGTTAATGATGTTGTGTGTTCTTTCTAGTTCCGACTTCTTCAAGATGACGAATGTATCATCAACATATAGGAGTCGAAGTTTTGGTATGATTCTCGATAGTACCTCCTTCTCTTCTCTATTACACCTTCGGCTATGAATCCAGAAATTGGTGATCCCATTAGTTTTCCTTTCAGCTGTTCATAGATTTCACCCTCGAGTGTGAAGTACGTCTGCATGCATAGTTCCATGAGTTCGCGAATCGAAGCTGTTTCCACTGGTTGGTTTAGTTGTTGTTCAGTTATAACTTCCCGTAACGTGGGCCATGCCAGTTCCATGTCAATCGAAGGGAACAAAGCGATGGCGCCGAACGAGACCATATTTCGTCTTCTTCTATGTTAAGAGTTTTGAGCCTGTATAGGAACTGCCTTGAGTTTATGATGCTATACTCGTGGCCTGCAATGAGCGGCTTCAGTTTCCATAATTCCTTTTTGGTAACTTGTATGTTCTTCCAGTCGCTTCAGTGTGGTGTTGATTTTGTTTTCCAGTTTTGCGGCGGGGTCCGTGTTGATTCTGCTGTAGGTGTTTGTGTCTTGGAGTAGTTCCTTAGCCTTTTGAATGTAGTCATTTTTGTCCACAACCATAGTAATTCGTTCCTTATCCGCTGGGAGGATGTCAATATTTCTGTCCATCTTCAATGTTTTGAGGGCTTTGTCCTCGTTTTTTTTTCTTGTTCGATTCAGAGCTGGGAAGATTGTTTGCCGCATCGTTTGTTTTGCATCCTCAAGTATTGTGGACGATTTAAAAGTTTGTTCCGGTTCCGCCAAATATTCCTTGTTTGTGGTATTTCTGAAGTTGAAGTTAAGTCCATTATTAAGGATCCGTTTTTCATCCTGTGGGATCACACGATTGGAAAGATTGCGGACCCAGTTTCCATTTTTATCGAATAGCACGTGATCATCCAAGTTTTGGAGCCTTCTTGAGAGTGCTAGTTTTCTTTTCTTTTAACATTTTTGACCTGTCGATTTATTGCATTTTCCATATTGAGCGAACGACAGATGGAACAGCTGGAACGCTCTTTGCATTTGTTTTCGCATTTTAACCGATTTGCTTCTTGCTCACCAGAAATAAGACGTTCCAATTGTTCGCATGTTTCCCGAAAACTCATACCTAAAGCATTCACCCTGATCAAATATGTGTTTTCATCGTCCGTTAAGTCCTTCTTGAAACGGCTGATAATTGGGACTTGTTTTTCCAGGAGCAGCGCAAAGATCAGCACAAGCGACCGGGGTGTGGACGGGCTTAAGAGCTGTGATCATCCACTGCCATTTGACATAGAGTTTCGATGGATAAAAGTGCAATTGAACTGCCGCTGAAAACTCTTAGTGAATCACTTGATATAAGTAAATCGAACAACTGCAAACAGTACACACCTCAACAGTATAGCAACACAGCTTGTATAAACCACTCAAACAAGGGAGGGTTCGAACCTGTAGAGGAGAGCCGAGAATTCGGATGGTTCAAGCGAGGGAGAGAGACCCAGTCGCATGCTCAGCGAACAGTTCAGTTCAGTTCAGTTTTTACAACCATTAACCATGCACTTTCGTGCGCCGGTTTTGGTTGCCGTCTTTTGGTTGCCCATTTGGATAACA